ATCAGCGCGCAGCCGCTGGCTCTGCATAAATTATGCAGGATGGTGGAGATCCGCAGTCCTTTTGTGTGCCGCTGAGATGAGCTGACCTTGGACCGCATCCGGAACCGCTGCGGCTCTATTCCGATCCGTTGCGGACTCCCAGGTGCGGATGCGTCTCCCCGAAGCGGCGTGGCGGCGGCGGACTGCGGGCTGTTTGGAAACCATGAGCAGCATGGATGCGTCCTGCTACTCCGTGGCCATGGATTTAGGCGTTTGCCAGCTGAGAAATTTCTCCATGTCGTTTCTGTCGTCGCTGCTGAGCGCAGACGGTTCTCAGCTGAAGCTGGACGGCAGGTAAAAAAAAAAAAAAAAAAAAAAAAAAGCCGCAGGCGGTGAGGCGTTCAAACGCTGCTGGTTTTTTTTTTTATTTATCGACGTTAAACCGAGAGAAATTTCCAGATGCTTCCCGTTCCGACCCACATTCCTCTAAAGGAGGAGAAAGGCAGCGCTTGTCCCTCGCTGCAGCACAGCACGGCTGGACATGTTTTATTTATTCCTCTTTCTTTTTTCTGCAGCTCGTCCGGAGCCAGCGTGGTGGCCATCGACAACAAGATCGAACAAGCAATGGTGAGTTTTTCCCTTTGTCAAGTCTGAACAGGTAGAAACCTCTTTAAATCACTTATTCTAACCAAAGACTAAACATTGAGGTGTAATAAAAATAAACGTTGACATAAAAATATCCTATTTTCCCCGTTTATTTGATTTAAATGATCTTATTTTACGTTTACGCGTGTTTATTTATTAACCGTATCCCCAAATGAAATAATTTTCTAAAAAGAAAAGCCAAACAGGTTTTTCTGTTTCTCTGTCTCCGTTGTCAGGGCTGTTGCTAGGCAAACTGGAAGACACGCCTGGTTATAAATATCTCGGCTTCTGATTGGTGCGCTCTATCTATGGGTGGGCGGAGCTAGACTGAGAGCATCCTGGAAATATTCCCCATCCACTTTTCTTTTGTCACCTTTTTGTGAAGTCTTAAACTAGATTATGGCTCTTATTTCTGTCAGGTTTTAAGAATTATTCTCATTAAATAGATAAAAACAAAACAAAGCTAGATTAAATAAAAAAAGAAAAGGATTTGGAATAAAAACAAGACGAGTCCAAAATATGAGTGAATAACACATGAATATATTTCATTGGACTTACTGACCTATAAAATAAGATGAAAAAAATAATCAAACACAGGATATTATCTCTTATTGATTCCAGTTTGATGCAGTTTAATGTCCGTGAAGCGTGGGTTATACCTAAAGCTTTTATTGTGGTTGTTGACTGAGCTGTCAGTGTTTCCTGATTATCTGAATCCATTTCTGCTTTCTGAGAAACTTCTTTGCTCGGCAGTCATACATGTTTTACCACACCAGTCCAACTCTGCACACCTCTTAATGAAAAGAGAGGATTTGACTTTTTTTTTTTTTTTTCTCTTGATGAATACTAACTCTAAATTTTAAAATGCTGTGGTTAAATATGAACTGGTTGACTCGGTCATAACAGGTTTGATTGGTGGAGACTTTCTATGTGAGGAACAATACTGTGTGCACGTAGACCACCTTTGGTCAGGCGTGGGATCAAAGCTGCAAAAGTTGCTACCTGGATTGATTTGAACAGCAGGGTGTATATTTCTGTAACTTTAAAACTGTTTTAAACAAAATAGCATCATTTATTTCCTATTTTATGAATGGAACCAAACAAAGGTAGTTGTTGTGAAAACATTAGCAAGTATAACTCTTTACGAATTTACAGAACAGGATTAGGGCCACTGGGGAAAAAAAAAAAAAAAAAGAGAACAGATTTTTTAATTTTATTTCAGTATAATATGAGAAAAAAGTCAGAAATCTTGACTTTAGACTTTAATCTCAGAATTCTGACTTTAAACTTAGAGTTTTGGATCTTAATGTAGATGGGCACCATGACGGAAGAGATGTGGGAGCACTCAGCTTCGCTGACAAAGATGTGAGTTGTTTGGGAGGGCCAGTGACACATTGGTGGAAAATGACGGAATTAGGCGACTTTTTACGTGATGCTATTTAACACAAAGATGCTATTTAATTAATGGAAGAGCAGAAGGTGATTAAAACAAGAGAGATAATTTAGTCTTTAAAACAGACATGGCTACCGCTTGATGCTAACATGTTTCTTAGCTGTCAGAATTCTGACCTTTTTTCTCAGATTATAAAAATCTGTTAACTTTTTTAAATTATTATTGTTCCAGTGGCCCCTAATCCTCTTTTGTATGTATTAACCCTTTGTTTATGTAAACCTTAATTGTTTTGAGTTAAAATACTGTAGAGGGAAAATTGGGTTAATTAAATTTCTGTGAAGTTAGGACTTAAATACATTACATTTATAAAGAAACTTATTTCCCAAGAAGTCTTTATTAAAATATCTTTATAAAAAATCTGCATTAAAACACCAGGAGCTTCATAAAATAAAAGGACTGAATAATAGAAATGAGCATTGGTTTTATTCAGTTGTAGGGTTTGATTGGAGATTCTCAAACGGCAATCTTTTCCTGTTTCCTTAACCCTAAAGACCCTAACATAGGGCCAAGGAGCCCCAGATTATAGACCCTTACCCTAACACTGTGTCTGTGTCTGATGTAGGATCTGGTGAAGAGCCACCTGATGTACGCCGTGCGTGAGGAGGTGGAGGTCCTGAAGGAGCAGATCAAGACCCTGATAGAGCAAAACTCCCAGCTGGAGCAGGAGAACACGCTGCTGAAGAAGCTGGCCAGCCCAGAACAGATGGCCCAGTTCCAGGCCAAGGTCCAGACCGGCTCCCCTCCCGCCCCTCAGACAGACGCGCCGACGGGGCCTCCGAGCGCCGCCGGCCTCACCCAGCCCGCCACGCACAGCTCCGGCCCCTCTGCGTAGCCCGACGACACAGACTGAGCATCCTCTAGTTTTAAAGGCCGGCGGCAGCCGCAGAGCCACCCTTGGCCTTCCGCTGCAGGAGGGCCATGCTGTCAAGATGAGAATTTGCACATATTTATCTCTGAAGGATGCAGCCAGCCAGCAGGCCGAGCGGAGCTGAGGCTTCTCCACGCAGTGGACAGTGACAATCCTACTATGCTGTGTGTTCGGGGGGTGGGGGTGGGTAAGTTCAGAAGAGGAATTATCACACATTTGCCAAATAACCCGGGGTCATCAACAAGAATGTTTAACCATGAAGAAACAGTCAGTGACACCATTTATGCTTACCTGTAGATTTAAAATGAAATCACTGTGCCTGTGTCTGGGTTTTAACTTGCGGGTGGGGGCGTTATCCATTTTGCTGAATTATGTAAATAAAAAGTGGTTCTGTACCAAGGCTAGATTCTGACAGAGAGAGAGAAGATCTTCTCGGTGACAGAATACGATTGTGAGCCATTATTATCATGTCATAGCCCCCATCTGGAATGGGGGGGTGGGGGTGGGTGGGCGCCGCTGACGATGTTCCTCAAATTGTGCGTTGGCGAGATGAACAAAACGTGCTTTCTTATGAAGATGATGATAAATCTATTTTCAGTATTTCCCTTTCAGGCTCATTAGTTTGCCCTCGAAGAAGCTCATTGCTGCCGTTCCCTCGGCGCCGTCCCCGCATGTCGCATCTTCTCCATCGACAGGGTGGACGCTTTGGGCGAAGCTGCAGGTTTTTTTTTTTTTTTTTTTTCCCAAAAAGTTCAATGGGCAGAAAACGATGTACATTTCTGTATAGTGTAAGTACAATGTAAAAAAGGAGAGGATGGAAGAACAGATGCTATCTAGGTCACGCTGATTGATGCGGGTCAGTCCGTCATCCATCTTTAATGCTGTAATTTCTGGACTTTGGATCTAAAAGGAGGTTTAGGTTATTTAACTGACAACAACGTTGTCCTACTCTCTCACTGACACATTTAACTCTGACTGTAAACAGTTTCTCATTGCTATTTTTCTTGAAGTATTGCACCTTTTTGGGAGTTTTTTTTTTTTTTGACAGTGAAAAACTTTTGGATTTGAAAATGCATACTTAGGGTAAAAAAAGAAACAAGCTCTGAAGATGTTATTTGTTTTTCATTCTGTGTATCGGTTGTATGCTCATGTTCTGTGCATGTTCCTTCAAAGACCGGATGAGATAACAAAATACCTACAATTGCACTTGACAGCTGCACTTCACAACTTTCAATAAACCTGCTTAAGAGTACCTGGTGTCTGAGTCTTCTCATCGGAGAGATCCCACTAAGTCATGAGCTTCCTCAAACCATCAGCCTCCTTACTGATTTGTTTATTTTCATGTTTCAAATCGGACTCAATGACTGAATACAGGATTCTGTTCTCAAGAAAAAATATTCAGCCCAACCTGTCCCTATGAGGAAAAGTAACAACCTCCTATATCTAAGTGTTTTCTACTTTTAGCAGCAGGAATGTTAACCCTTCTTATTGGCGCTGGTCGCCTTTATTTTGAAGGTGCTCTGACAGGAAATGGGGGTCAATGGTTCAAACCTTTGCACACTGGCTTTACCTGAGATCAGGAGGGTTTTCATCCGTCCCGTTTAGAATCATAACACAGCCCCATATTGCAGTACGGGCTTTGAATAGGCCACCCTAGAACAAGGCCTTTTTGGTCCACTCTATAAAGCCTTTACGCCATTTCTGACATTTTGAACTGAAAAAGCTTCCTTGATGGGAAGCGAAACGTCTTCAAATTTGGAAACAAAGTTCAGTAGATTGTTGTTGTTTTTTTCGAAGGAGCCACCCTAAAACCTTTCTGAACATTCTAAGGAGATTCTCCTTTAAGATCTTCTACTGATGAGCAGATATATAGTGCATACTGGCGCATCCAGCTAAACTAGTCCCGTTAATCACACCACCACCACCGTGTTTGTTCCTATCAACATTGAAGTTGTTTTAAAGGCAACATTGAAGTTGCCAGGCTTCAATCTTGTGTTAAAAGTAAGTCAAACCCAGTTTGAACAATATAGTGTATCTGTAAACAGTAAACACTCGTAACTGCTTCACATTTATTTGAAAAAACAAAAGAAAAAAACTCGATTTTCATACAATAAAGATGAAAACGTACATAGACGGATATGGCACATTATCAGCAGGAATCACTCACACCTCTGCACACGCGAGCCAAGCGATTAATGGAACAGGTTCTCCAGCCGGCGTGGTTTAAGACTGTCCATAGAAAAGCTGTCAGTACCACAGACTGTAACACTGTAAACGCTGATGGAGGGCAGGGGTCCATCCGTAAGTGCTGATGGTCTCTGGAGAGGAGGGGGGCCGATGAGATGTGCAGGCGTCGGCTAGCCAGGCTCAGTGTTGACATGAAGAGGGGGGTGGGGGTCCCTGTCCTCCCCCTGGGTCACATCCCCATACGGATACTTTGGATGATCTGAAATATGGCTGAGTGCCGCAGATGTACAGGTCAGATTATTGTTATAAACATCAAAATATAAAGAAAATGTAAATGTTTGGAGCGTAATGCCAAAGTGAAGATCAAACTGCTGCACTTTTACACTATCATATATAAAAAACAAGAGCTAGAAATCCCTTTTATAGGTTAGGAAAAGAAGTGCCCTCTAAAAATTTCAGCAATTTAAAATTAAAGATTTTAATCTGATGGATGAACACAGAAGGGAAATGGTATGATGTTCTAAGCTTTTTAATTAAAGAAAATTGTAGCATACAGGTGAAAACAAGCCAGTGAGATAAAATGCTTCTAGAAGTCACCAATAATTTGCTGTTATCTAAATTAAACATGCTAAAAGAAAAACACACGATACTTTAAATGCAAAATCCCCAACATGAAACTGTGGAAATAATTTAAATGATTGTTGCAGTGAACAAAATTTTGAAGTTTTAAGACCAAATTTTACGGCTACATGGCCTTCCAGCCTAAACTGAACATTAAATACTGAAGCAGCCGAGGGGTCCTTAACAAATCACAATAGAAGAGCTTGCTTGAAATGGTAAGATTCAAATCAACTTACTAAATTTTGCAAAAAAGTTTACTTGCTCACTTGAGATGGTTTTTGACTTGTTCAAAAGAGTAAATGTGCTAAAGGGGAGAATAAAACATTTGTCAACATGTAACGAACGTTTACTTCAAATGACCAATCAGCTGTTTCCACTGCTGATTTCCTGAATGCAAGTATTTGAATCCCGCTTCTCTCTCAATGTCTCCAGATGGAGACATGTCGCTAATGTTAGCTGACATGGCACGTTCATTAAAACATAAAACTGTCCTGGGATCAAGTTAGCCTCCTAACTCTACTTCATGTCGATTACAGCGTAAGGTAAAAATGTAACAACTTTACGTTTAGTATCGGCCGATTAATTTGCTACAGTGGATTGAAGCAAATCTAATTCGCATTTCTTTTTTTGATTTGCTTTTTTGCTTTCAAATAATGTCTACTTTGTTCCCTTTTCCTCTGAAAATAACAAATTGCAGCAAACCATGTCTTTAGCTGGTGCAGGCTGCTGAACTGAGGGATTTTTTTAAAATAAAAAGATGCGTTAGAAAAATTAATTTGCTAAATGGAAATTCTGTGTTTTGATTAAAAAGTTTTTTTTTTCGGTCATATTGAAATTCTTCTATTCGCAAAACTGCGATGGAAACACTTTCGCATCACATTAGTCATGTGATTTGCAACTGGACCTTACTGCCTCGTAAAAAGACGAAGAAGAAGACTGGAAGTACTTGGAGGACTTATATAATTTTACCAATCCTCTGATTTGCTGGTATATGGATATAGCTCATGTGTTTACATCTGCCGCTGCTATTTCACATGAACAAACGTAGTCACATGCAATTTGAATTTTAATAGTCATTAAATAGAAATGCTGCAATTAGGAACAAAACCGTAATTTTTTTTACATTTGTAATGGAGACGCAGCTCCTGTCTCCGGCTTTAAAGGCAGAAAAGGACATAAAACTGGGGTGGGAGTTCCTAAAGGCAGGGTGACGACAAATATGTTTATAATAATCATCTATTAAAATGGCCTAGTCAAAGTCCAGACCTGTGGCAACAATCTGAAATTGAAGCTCTGCATCCATTCTCTAAAGAAAGGTAAAAAAAAAAAATAAAAAATCTGAAATTTACTCATGCCATGATGCAGGGGGAGTGAATATATATGCATGCATGCCACACTTTTCAGCTTTTAGTTTTTATTTCAAGAATTTAAACCCATGTGTTATTTGTTTGTTCCATTTTCTGTTACTCAAATGGTGGAAAAATGAAGGAGCTTGTGGTAGTAACATGTGGAAAAGGTTCCCCGGCTACGGCTGCACATTTCAGATACACCAGTTTCTTTTCTGCTGGTTTTACCTGATCCACAAACAACGAATACAAAGAGGGCGAGCAGCCAGGGGCCTACAGGGTACTTCTCCTCTTGTGGTCGCTTGGGGAAACAAAGACACACATGGTGGACGTTAGCTCGACTGCCACAAAATAAAGATCTTTGCAGCCACAAAGGAAAAGTGAACCTGTTTGATTAGAAATATGATCAAAGAGTTTTACTATCATTAATCACACCTATATAGCTGTAATATTTTCTCTTTCATTCTGCCTCAATCTACAGCACCCAGAGATGGTTTTAAATCAACGTTATTCGGTATGAGTTTCACAAATGTAACAAAGCTGCTTCTCTATAATCTTCAGAAGCAATGGAGCCCCAGTTGGCCAGAGCTTAAAATCCATGATGTTTCAGCTCCCTGAATACGGAGAACTAGACTGTTTCATTAAAAGCAACAAATTCAAAACACTTATCGCCTTTAAACAGCTACTTTAAAAATGTCATTTTATTCATAGGAACTTTTGAAGTATTTTCCCCTTATAGATGTCTGCTGTTTTGCTCTTTAACACACTTCATGATTTTAGATCTTTGAACTTGTTTTAATATCAAATAAAAACCAGATTTTAGATCATGTTTGTGTGTTTAAGTTAAAAATGTGAAAATAAAGATGCCTGACTTGCTAAATTATGAATCAACTTTAACCAGGATTTTTGGTTAAGTTTTAGCAGCCAGATTGAGGGTTGATTACTGGGACCCCTGTGATCCAAAACAAGAACCATTATCTATAAATGAACAGTGGAAACCTTCCCAAGAGTCGCTGGATGACCCAGAATATTCCAAGAGAACATCGACTCATCCAGGAGGTCGACCAAACTCAGAAAACCATCTAAAGCACAGCCCAGAGGTCATGATTCAGCGATCAGAAGGAAACGAGGAAGAAAGTATCTGGGTGGTGTGTAGCTTGGCTACGTTAGAAATCTGGGCAAAGTGATCATTTTGCTAGATTTAATTTTGTCTATCATCGATAAGTTTAGAATATTCCATCTACTAAACACAGCTTTAACCTGATTTATTAAGTCATCAATTTCAAGAAGCTTACCCATACTTTTTGGTATATATATATATATATATATATATATACTCCCAGGTACTTTACATGTTCGCTTCTATTATCATAGCCTCTGATTTATGTGTATTAAGCTTGTACCCTGAGTGTTGACTATATAGTTGTAGTTCTACCATTTCATTATCCAAGGATTACCTGACCTCCAACATTGACACCATCACATCGTCTGCATACGTCGCTATTTTATAATCAGAACCACCCAGAATAATCCTACTTGTATTCTTATTTTGTCTTATGCTTTCTGCTAAAGGCTCTACACGTGATACATAAACCAGCAGAGAGAGACAGTAGCCCTGGCTTACACCTCAGTGCAGGCAAATCTTCTCCATTTACTTTTACAGCTGCTTGAGGACTCTTTTGCATCACTCTTGGAACAGAAGGAGTCCAGGAAGAAACGGCATCCAGTTGAGGGTTTTATTGAGAAAATCTCTGCTATCCATCACAAAGGCTTCTCTCATTTATGACAAAAATACACAGACAAGAAGCCTGTCATGTATTTTGGTGCTAAGCTATCAAGTGATTTATAGACTAATAGAGATATTTTAAAGTCCAGAGTTTTTTTTTTTTTACATGATAGAAAAATAATAAACAAGCCTCAGTTTAAGCAAACAAATTATTAATTCAAAAACAAAAAAAAACATGAACCATACATACAGGTGCTGGTCATAAAATTAGAATATCATGAAAAAGTAGATTGATTTCAGTAATTCCATTTAAAAAGTGAAACTTGTATATTATATTCATACATTACATACAAACTCATATATTTCAGATGTTTATTTTGTTTAATTTTGATGATTACAAATGACAACAAATGAAAATCTCAAATTCATCATATCAGAAAATTAGAATATTGTGAAAAGGTTCAAAATTGATGGCCCCTGGTGCCACACTCTAATCAGCTAATTAACTCAAACCACCTGCAAAAGCCTTTAAATGGTCTTTCAGTCTAGTTCTATAGGCTACACAATCATGGGGAAGACTGCTGACTTGACAGTTGTCCAAAAGACGACCATCGACACCTTGCACAAGGAGGGCAAGACACAAAAGGTCATCGCTAAAGAGGCTGGCTGTTCACAGAGCTCAGTGTCCAAGCACATTAATAGAGAGGCGAAGGGAAGGAAAAGATGTGGTCGAAAAAAGTGTACAAGCAAGAGAGATAACCGCACCCTGGAGAGGATTGTGAAACAAAACCCCTTCAAAAATGTGGGGGAGATTCACAAAGAGTGGACTGCAGCTGGAGTGAGTGCTTCAAGAACCACCACACACAGACGTATGAAAGACATGGGTTTCTGCTGTCGCATTCCTTGTGTCAAGCCACTCTTGAACCACAGACAGCGTCAGAAGCGTCTTGCCTGGGCTAAAGAGAAACAGGACTGGACTGCTGGTGAGTGGTCCAAAGTCATGTTCTCTGATGAAAGTAAATTTTGCATTTCCTTTGGAAATCAAGGTCCCAGAGTCTGGAGGAAAAGAAGAGAGGCACTTCATCCACGTTGCTTGAAGTCCAGTGTAAAGTTTCCACAGTCAGTGATGGTTTGGGGTGCCATGTCATCTGCTGGTGTTGGTCCATTGTGTTTTCTGAGGTCCAGGGTCAACGCAGCCACATACCAGGAAGTTTTAGAGCACTTCATGCTTCCTGCAGCTGACCAACTTTTTGGAGATGCAGATTTCATTTTCCAACAGGACTTGGCACCTGCACACAGTGCCAAAGCTACCAGTACCTGGTTGAAGGACCATGGTATCCCTGTTCTTAATTGGCCAGCAAACTCTCCTGACCTTAACCCCATAGAAAATCTATGGGGTATTGTGAAGAAGAAGATGCAATACACCAGACCCAACAATTCAGAAGAGCTAAAAGCCACTATTAGAGCAACCTGGGCTATCATAACACCTGAGCAGTGCCACAGACTGATCGACTCCATGCCACGCCGCATTGCTGCAGTAATACAGGCCAAAGGAGGCCCAACTAAATACTGAGTGCTGTACATGCTCATACTTTTCATGTTCATACTTTTCAGTTGGCCAACATTTCTATAAATCCTTTGTTTTTATTGGTCTTCAGTAATATTCTAATTTTCTGATATGATGAATTTGAGATTTTCATTTGTTGTCATTTGTAATCATCAAAATTAAACAAAATAAACATCTGAAATATATGAGTTTGTATGTAATGTATGAATATAATATACAAGTTTCACTTTTTAAATGGAATTACTGAAATCAATCTACTTTTTCATGATATTCTAATTTTATGACCAGCACCTGTAGCAAATGGTGGGAGCGGAAAAGCATGCTCTTTATGTGATCTCATGGCATGGCTGCAAAATGCTCTAATGAATCTGAAATCATGCACGTAAGGACAAATACTGACTCAAGGCATGAAAGTATCTGTCTATCTCTGGGATATGGGGATACAGTAGAAGGTGATGTGCTTCACTTTCTTTGTTTTAGTGAGGATGTTGGCAGCAAAGTTCTGGATCAACTTTTTAGTCAGAACTGTGAAGACACCACCAGGAAACAAATCTATTAAATTCAATGAAAGATGATCGCATTAAAGGAATAGTACACCCAAAACATGATTAGCCTTCATTTTCTACTCACCCCCATGCTGAACAACACTCTGGAGTACTTTTTTGATATCTCAAATGCATCTGGAGATCTGGGAGGCTTCTTGCTGTCTGCTGACATTCAAATAATGGAGGTCTATGGCGCCCCAGACAGAAAGGTCCATAAAAGTCCACAAAAAACGTGTCAATATTCCTCCATACTGCTCGTCCAATGTATTCCAAGTGTCCTGAGTGGGTAGCGTCCATAGATTACTCGAAACGAAGTCATTTAGAATGTTTTTAGAGCATAAACAGTAGTGTATAGGATTTCCTGAAAGCGCGCACCTGCGCGATCACGACGCTACGGAAGCCGGCAGACCAAACCAGATGAAAGTGCGCATTCAGCGTCTGCTCTGCCAATAATGCAAGCGTAGAAGAAGAAATGTGCTGTTTACCTGTGCAAAGAAAGAAACAATGAAAGAAAAATGTCTGAGGACTTCAGTGTTGAGGAAGAGCATGAGTTCTTTGCCGAGCTGAATGCGCACTTTCATCTGGTTTGGTCTTCCGGCTTCCGTAGCGTCGTGAACGCGCTTTCAGGAAATCCTATACACTACTGTTTATACTCTAAAAACATTCTAAATGACTTCGTTTCGAGTAAATTCTGGATGCTACCCACTCAGGACACTTGGAATACATTGGACGAGCAGTATGGAGGAATATTGAAACGTTTTTTGTGGACTTTTATGGACCTTTCTGTCTCGGGCGCCATAGACCTCCATTATTTGAATGTCAGCAGACAGCAAGAAGCCTCCCAGATTTCCAGATGCATTTGAGATATCAAAAAAGTACTCCAGAGTGTTGTTCAGCATGGGGGTGAGTAGAAAATGAAGGCTAATCATGTTTTGGGTGTACTATTCCTTTAAGTAGTTATTGAAGGTCCTGCTGAGATATTAGTCCTTTAATCCTTGACATCTTCCTAAAGTGATAGAAGGCTGATTTTATGTGCTGCTAAAGGTCCAGGTCTGGGTCCATCACTACACTCTGATCTAGAGCCTTACTTCATTTCAAATAAACCAGTAGAAATATATATATATATAAGTGCTTATGTCTGAAAAGGTTTCTAGCTTTATTAACTGAACATGTGAGCTAATTTTTAATCTCTCTTCCTTTTTATAATTACTTTTTATCAGTTACTGTAAAAGTTTGACAGCAGTTGTTGTGGAACATTTACTCTTTAACATGTAGATCAATTTAATGAGTTGAAATCCAACGTTTTAAAAGTTTTTTTGTCTTAAATTTGGTCTTAAGTATTTAAGTGTAACAAAAAGCAAAAAGAAAAAGAAGGCAGATCGTTTAAGAGGTACAACAAACTGGGTTATTTTATAATTCCTTTGCCTTTTGTTTGAGTAAACATTTCACTTCTAGCATGAACCATTTCCTGCATGTTCTTCATGATTGTTACACAAGGTTACCGTAAACAGAGCTGTAGTTTTTCAGCCGAAACATAAAAGTAATTAAGGAAAGAAAAAAAAACCTCATGGGCATGGCTGACTAAACATAAAGATGCCAAATAGTGAAAAGTCTTGGAATGAAACAAAAAGAAGAACTGAATCTTTTACTCCACGCCACACTGTTAGCTCTTATCTTGCTTTTTCCACAAAATCAGAAGAAGAACAAACTCATCAGAACTGGCTGCACCAAACTAACCCCGGCATCTTGTCACGAACTGAAAGGTGCAGACCATATGAGTGCAGGGTTTGCGTTTTCTTTTCACTGTGGGCTAATGATACGCCCAGCGTCATGATGAGGTCATATGTTTGGGCAGGTTGCATGTTTGCGGGGGAAGCTTTTAGTCAGTCATGGATGATATAAACAAAGCTGGAGGAAGAGGGGGAGAGTAGGTGGAAAACAAAAACATTTTCCGATGAGGATTTATTTGCAACGTTGGGTTTCGACTGAAAAAAGCCAAAAGATGATTCATATAAATTGTCTTCTATTTTCCGCTCTAGGAAAGCAGATTAAGAGGTTTAAATAAAGGGCTGTGCTAAAGTCTTAAGTCAACTTTCTGCAGAGGGGATATAGGAGGCTAACAGATGGAACAACATAAGACCTGAGCAGACGAAGAAGAGGAGGTTTTAGATGAGCAGAAGTTAGTCTCATATTTGACAGAGCTACTATGGTTTCAGAGAAACTCCAACTCTGAGACAGCAGGTTGTAATTTAAATTAAAAAAAGTTTAACTGTTCACTTCAGATGGATGTTATTTCTTCATAGTAACAAAAAGTAAAGAGGAAGAGTCGATGCCTAAATAAGAAATATCACAGAGAAGTGAAGGTAGAGAACAAACAGGGTGGATAAAATGAGGTACCGCTAAAAGAAAACTAAATACAGGAAAATAGGGAAAAAAGGAGGCTAAGTGGTGCAGTGGGTAGCACTTCTGCCTTGCAGCAAGAAGGTTCTGGTTTCAATTCCTGCCCTGGGGTCTTTCTGCATGGAGTTTGCATGTTCTCCCTGAGCATGCGTGGGTTCTCTCTGGGTACTCCAGCTTCCTCCCAAAAACATGACTGTTAGGTTAATTGGCTTCTCTAAATTCTCCTTAGGTGTGAGTGTGTGCGTGAATGGTTGTGTGTCTCTGTGTTGCCCTGCGATGGACTGGCGACCTGTCCAGGGTCCTAAAAATAGGACTCAGGAAAGGAAGGAGAAAGGGCAGGAGGGAAGTGAAGGAAGGGCATGTTAGACTGGCAATATAACCTGCCTCCAAACTGCCAACATCTATTCAGACTTAAAAAACAAAAAAAAAGATTAAACTCAAAGCAAAATTTGCAAAGAATATAAAGAAGGAATATTAAAAAAATATATAAATTTCTAAGCTTGTTTTAACCTTTGATGAGACATGCATCTTGTTTATTATACTAAAAACAATTAAATGTGATGGAGAGAAAATATAAAAATAACTGCGGCAACATGCTGCCTGAGGGTGCACCGTTATAACCAATACTCCAGGTACTTAGAGATTTACTTCCATACAGAAAGCCCATATTCTTATCTTCAGGTAATACAGAATAAATGTCAGATTAAATAATACTACTTATACTAGATAGTATCTAGTATCTAGGTGTTACTTTATTGTATGTCTCGTACCATGCCTGTTGGTTGTGTTGTTCTTTTTACATCTTATTGCAGGTGATGAAGCAGACTGAAAATGTTTTATCGTTATCTCCCTTATATCTCCTCTTTCTTTCATCTTTTCTCCTTTTTTTCTGTTTTTCCTTCAATGTTCTACCTGCATTGCAGTGTCCATATAATCTGTAAAACTCCCTGCATAAATATAATAAAGCAATTTATATGCATAAATCAAGCGGAACACTATGGCAATAGCCCTACTGCTCCACTTGTGAAAGTAAAATCTGTTGGGCTCTTTTTGGCATCAAGACAATTATTCTTATTGCAACATTGCCAGACAGGACACTTTAAAAAAAATTAACAGTGTCTTTTTTGTCTTTTAAATATTTCTCTACTGTGATCTAAAGTGTTTTAAAAAGGTGCATTTTAAATAAAATGCAATATAATTAAACTAGCTTTCAATTCAAATTTAGCATCTGTTTTTGGACATCATTTTAACTGAATGTTCCCTCATAACTTTCAAAATACAAGAGTTAAAGAAACCTGAGAAGATGCTTAGAGTGTGAAGCATGAATTGTTGGTCAGGAGAAAGAACATTTCCAGCCATAACAACCACAGAGAAACATGGTGGTGGCAGCATTATTCTGTGGGATTCATTTTTATGGGTAAACTAACTTATAAAAAATGGTTGATAAGATGGTGAACAGCTCTAAATAGAAGACAGATTTTAGCCTAAAAGCTTCAGGTGTTTGAGAGATGGATGGATGGATGGATGGATGGATGGATGGATGGATGGATGGATGGATGGAAGGCGTACATCCGCATCACTAAAAGAACCTTCACCTGAGGGAAATTAGCATTCTGCTACGGCTTAGCAATAATCCATGTCCTTAATCTGTCACCTGAAAAATGCTGTGTACAAAAGCTGCACTAATAATCTGGTAAAGTTGAAGAACGCTGCAAGAAAAGAGTCAAGCAGGATGCTGACTGACTCCTAATGAAAAATGCTGATTGCTGATGCTGATGCTGAAAAAAAAAGGCTTGGATGAAGTGATTATTCCAGCATTTTCATTTCCAACAACATTCTCTGCTTTAGCACAGCTGATTCTGATGATTGCACTTCAGCAAAAGCCTGTTAATCAACTATCAATGTAAATCAGCTGTGCTGGAGCAGCTCTAAAACCTGCAGGACTGCGGCCCTCGAGGACCGACTTTGGGGATGCCTGCTTTAAAGCATCACTATATGGTCCATTTACCGATTTAATGCGTAATTTAAAAAAAATTTAGAAGTTGAGACGAACGCTGCAAACAGCGGACCTCCGAGGCTAACCGCAGCCAGGGCTAACCACACCCTTCTCTGCATAGCCGTGTGTGAAGGGCCTCTGGCTATGATGCCGATTTTTTGGTTTAATTTGGCAAAATGTTCATTTGATTTGTGTTTATCTGACTTCGTTACTTATTATTCCTCCACTAAAAGAAAAAATTAATAATTTATTTTTATCTAGAGACTATTAATTGACCCATATCTATGCTGCATGCTCCCGTTCTCCCCAAGTCCATACTTTTCTGTGTTCTTCTCAGGAATATACTTGACAAGAACACTAGTCCGTACTAATGTTCTAGTTATTTGAGAAACGGCCAGAGTTACTTCTGCCACAACAATCCCCCTTGTTAAATGACCAGTCACATTCAGTTTATTCACTCGTATAAAGTCAGGCACTACTCGGGAGAATTTGGAAACACAACGGTTGGAACGGCTGCTTCCCTTCAACTTTAAAAAAAGGCAATAAATCCTACTAAAATCCTTCCAAAACATATTTGGTTGCTAGTTTTATTTTTAAAACATTTGTTTACAGAGAAATAGGAATTTTATCCTGCAAAGATGACAAAAAAAAAGTTTAATAATGGGCCACAGTGTTCTGTTAGATTTTTAAGCACAATATAACAACCTAAAAAATTAAGACATACATTTCTCAGCCCCAGGACCTCAGAACCTTAGGTGTGCCTCTGCTTTGCAGCACCATGTTCTCATTCATCATTTGGTATTAGTTTATTATAAAAAATAAATTAATAAGCAATATTAGTATTTAAATGAACATAGATCTACCTGTGGTATAATTACCAGAGCGATAACCCGCTCATACCGGGCTGAACGTCCCTATCTGGGCTAATCATGTCCTGTTGGCATCTGGCTGTCACTCTAACGGCTCACCAGCGTCTTGGCTACGTTTCCTCTCTGCGTGATGTTCTTGCTGTGTTTCTCGTTGGCCATCCGGATCCTCTGTTTGGCCACCATCTTCCACAACCAGGGCGGTAATTCACTCTGTTTAGCCTGTTATTTTTCCTCTGATGCTGCAGGCTGACCACAGCACCGCCGCGTCAAGCTAGCATGGCCCAGTTGCTAGGAAACCAGAAACTCCCAATGTGACCTTCAAAATAAGAGCATACGTTATCTTTAAAACAAAAAAAGTCAAATCATGTCAAGAACATTAAAATGAACTAGTAAATTAATCTATTATGTCGAAAGGGTCTTTTCTTATTCAACATAAATTAAGAGTAATGATCTCATCAGAAATGTTATAAATGAGGTGCGGAAGAGGATTAGGGCCACTGAAAAAAGAAAAAATAAGTTAACTGATTTTAAATTGTATTTTAGTTTAATATGAGAAAAAAAAAAATCAGAATTCTGACCTTAATCTGAGAATTCTGACTTAAATCTCAGAATTCTGACTTTAACCTCAGAATTCTGACTTTAACCTCAGAATTCTGACTTTAACCTCAGAATTCTGACTTTAATGTCAAAAGAAAAAAGTCAGAATTCTGACTTTGATATCAGAATTTTGAGAAAAGTCAGAATTCTGACTTTTTTTCTCAGAATTCAAACTTTAACCTCAGAATTCTGACTTTTCTCAAAATTGTGACATCAAAGTCAGAATTGAGGTTACAGTCAGAATTCTGACTTTTTTCTTAGAATTCTGACTTTTCTCAAAATTATGACATCAAAGTCAGAATTAAAGTCAGTTAGAATTCTGAGAAAAAAGTCAGAATTCTGAGAAAAAGGTCAGAATTCTGACTTTTTTCTCATATTATACTGAAATAAAATTTTAAAATCAATTAACTTTTTTCTTTTTTTTTCCAGTGGCCCTAATCCTCAATTAAAGGCACAGCAGCTTTTCAATGTTTTAGCACGTGGTTGCGGGCATGTGCAATTTACAGCAATGTATTTTGTTTTGAAACAAACTCAGCAGAGAGCCTTTTTTATATGTTGAATCGATTTATTTGGTCGGTTTCTTATATAAAAGGTGTATATATTCATATATAATGTGTCTACCATTTAAGTCAAATTCCTTGATTGACATGAACGTGGCCAAAAAAAATAATTCTGTTTTAAAATGCTTTTTAATGTTTAAATGGTCTATTGTTGCTGAAATATATATATTAAATGATACTGCAGTACATAAACTTGTAAACTTTTAGTCTTGATACATTATTAACATTGTTGGTTCAGCTTTGAGCTGCATCTGAAAAACACTAATTGAATGACTAATTAGCATCAATTTTGGAGCACTCTGTGGTACTTAAATACCCAAATTAATTTGTAAACATCAAGATTTTTGAGGACTACTCATAATAATATTACATAGAATCATAATAATAATTTAACCAAGGCAACAACAACAACTACTACTACAAAAACAGCTATACTACAAATGTGATAATAATAATAAAAAAATAACGATGATTAGATGTTTCAAAATAAAGGAGTTCTTACAAAACATGCTGCTGTACACATCTGCTGACATGATTTCAAAACTGAGGGGGAAATAAAGAGATTTTTTTCCCCCCGTTGATCTTAATGCATTTTTAACAATTTTGTCCAAACAACTTGCCGGATTTTTGATCAGATTTACTCTCTCTGAAATTTTAAAACATAAAATCAAACCATACTATACATTTTCTGCTCAAATGATCAGACAATGAGTTGTATATATAGCTTGTTTTCAGCCACCCAGACAGCATGTCATTGAGGTCAGTAGCTGGGCTTGGATTCTCATAAGGGTTTTCTATTTCCTTAATCTCAACCAGTCCTTTGTAGATTTACAGGCTTGTTTTGGGTCATTTCCATACTGGAGGGTCCAGCTGGGCTTCATTAGTTTTATTTTTTACTGATGGTTTCCTGTTTTACACAAGTGTCATCTAATACACAGTAGATTTAACTCATGGATGTAGACAACTATCAAACAATGACACCTTCAGTTCTATGTTTCACAATTGCTTTGAGGTTTTCTTTCTCGGGATATTTCTTTGTATACAATTCCTCTGTTTTTATGCACATAGTTTAATTTCAAAAGACAAATTAAATTAAAGAGGTCCTTCTCTATGTTCCCGGCAGCAAACTTAAGTCTCATGTTGTTCTAGGAGACGAAAGCTGTTATTCATGGAAGGTGAGGAACGGAGCAGAATACAAATTTTAAATAGTTTCTGCTATGATGCGTGCAGATCTCCTTTACATTGTCTGCTGGGTGGATTGCACCAAAACCAGTGACTCAAAGTGCAGGTAAAGAAACATCTTTCTTTCTGTCACAGGTTTAGTTCTTCTATGTTCTTCTGTCAGTGTCTGTCTGCTTGAATCCTGCAGTGGTTTGTGGCAGATATCCATTCACAATGAGCCTTGTTTTACCGGTTAAAGACAGAAGTTTCCCCCTCCGTACATGCTCTGTATTGTGTCGAATCAACGACAGAATGCAAGCAACTGCTAGGTGTAGCTGTATGCAGGAGGATTGAATTCTGCAAAGTCAATCTCTTGATGCAATATGCTGTTTTCACTTTTATCTGTTCTCTGCTTGATTTAAAAGAGGTGATTTTGTGATGCAGGAGCAGGCAAACAATGTATGGAACCTCTGTTAGACCTTTTCAGCATGTCATCCCACTTCCCTCCATCCTATTACCGTCAAGTCATTGTAATGATAAAGTGCCACAAAGATAGAAGGAGAGTGGTGCTGATGCAGTTTTTACAGGAACATGTGAGGATGCCTCATTCCCAAATACACTGCTCCAATATTTGAGCCCTGACTTCTGGATACCTTTGCTATACTATCTCTTCCCCAATATCTCTCTATCCTGTTTCCTGTAAGAGTAGTTTCAAAATAAAGGCCATCACACGTGTAAGATGTGGAATTGCACCTCATGCCTTCTGGCAAGTATGGTGAATGGTCTGCTGTGGACTGTTTCCTGTCAGAACTATATATCAAACCAGAACCTTTAAATAAACATCTGCTGAATTAAAAAAAGGGGTTATTACTGCGTCCAAAACATAGGGCTCAACCAATCAGGAAATAGATCAATAATCCAAAGCAGCAGCTGGATCATACAGGTAAAGTTTAGGACAATTCTCTTTGACTTATAATGAGCAGGAAATGTTTGTTTTCTTTCAGTCTCTTACCTCTGTGCCCCTGATGAGATGAACTTGCTGGATGCTGGGAGGGAAAGATGGGGAGAGACGGAGCAGCTGTTGCTTGGTAACAGAATCAAAGACTGCTTGGAGAGAAAGGAAAATAAAAACTCCAGCAGTGGGGTGACAAGGAACAGACAGACTTGTTTAAACATCTGAGTCGTGATCAAACTCAGCTGATGAGTGTGTTTTAATGTTGGTGCAAAGAGAGGGATTCTCTCATTCATGGATAATTAGCCTCTTGGCTCTCTGGATGCAGCTTGTAAAGAACAGAAAAGCCTGAAGAGAGGAAAAACATTTGTTTGTTAATGTTCCAACAACCAAATATAGTGTACCCAATAAGTTTCTCTGCTGATTGACAAATGGCGACGAGGAGATGTTCCAAAATGAAGGAGTTTGCACATCATTGCACATCTCCAGCTTAATTCCCTATGGTAATCTTACAACAGTGAAGCTGGAGAATCTGTCAGCCTCGGCCCTGGAAAAAGGACTGCATCGTTCAGGGCTCAGGTTTTCAAAGAGGGATACTTTGAGAAAGCTAAAACTAATTCCCATGGAGCTGAAAGATTAAAAAAAAAAAAAAACTATTCCTCTTCACATGTGAGAGAGAAAGCAGAAGTCGACAGAGGCTGTGGCTCCTGATCAAATGTCTTTGGGTGTTCAAAGCCCCAGTCAGTGCATGACCTGGATTTGAAGCCTCTCGTTTCCTCCTGTCCCCAGGGACCCCTATTGTCTGAAAAGGAGAACCTGAGTAAAGCTGCAAATAAGAAGACTGTCAGAAAATCTGAAGCTACATGCAGAAAACAAGTAGAATACCTATTGTTCTTTTCACAATGAGCCATGTTCTAAATACAAACTTAGATGTATTTTATTTGAATATTATGGGACAGGCCAACTTCAAACATCATTCAAATGTGAGCTGGAAGATAAAATTACATGCAATAAAGTGTAATTAAAACAAATTTGCAGTAGGAAGGGCTCTCAGCTTTGTTAGTGAACATGGGTAAATTAATACAAGAAAGTTACAACTTCTAGATGTAAAAAATGGGAAAAAATAATAGTCGGGCTCTTTTGGCTTACACTGATTGTGAATGTTTGTCATTCTTTGCAAACTCAACTTTCTGGCTTACATCTAAGATGATTTAGCAAAGCTTTTTAGCTCCTCTTCTAAGTAGGAGAAATGCAGCAACTCTGCACGCCGAGGGGTTAGCAGAACTAATCAAGAAAAGCAAAATGTAATCCTCTGTTTCCTCTCCACCATAAACAGTCCAGCCTTCTGCAACCAGAGGAAAAATAATTGACCTAATTCATGATGTTTGCACCTAAAACCTGCTGCAGTAATTATGGTTTAGGCACACCTTGCGGAGCTAAAACATGCACTTTAATCATTGCATGAAAGGAAGGTAAATAGCAGTTAACCGTGGCAAAACACATCTGAAACCTTAGAGATGAATTCAGGTAAAATGAAGGAGAGATGGGAGGAGGGGGCTGTGGGATGGAAGGAAGGAAATATTTTATGTCTGCATGTAAGTGTTTGACATATACCAACATACGCTCTGCGTAAAACCACACAGACGAGTCTGGCTCTGTTCGAACAAGCCTCCCTCTTTTCTGTCTTTTCAATTCCTCACCAACTCTACCCACTAGGGCCCACTCCCACTGGCCTTGATGCCATCGAAGGAGGACAGAGGATCATGTGTAACTTTATACAGAGAGAAAACACACTGAAGTGCAGCTCAGCTTATTTCATGTCCATAAGCAGTAATATTCTGCAGAGGGCTGCAACACTTCCAGCGAAGCTCTCAGCGCTTCTGTGATAAACAAACCCTGCACTTCAAAACACACATGAACTTTTTCAGAGGGAATTAAAAAAGCAAATCAAAAGAAAGCAAAGACACCAAAACATCACGCAGGATCCTTTTTAGTGAATCTCCTATAAAACAGGCAACAAAAACACTTCATTAAAAATTCATCTT